TTATGTAAGTGTTAACCAAATCCCTCTAACGTAGATTCTCATCCTTTAATTCCTTCACCTTGGCTTCAGAAGCTGCAAGATGACCCTTGTATACATCTCTCACATCATGGGACTTCTTGACATCAATAAGGGTGTAAGAAAGTTTTTTTTTCAGCTGCAGCAGCAAGATCCTTCTCCACTTTTCGAATAGATAAAGATTGAGCCTCAGCAGTTGCACATAAAGCCATGGTGTGGCACAGGCTCTACAGGACAATCAAGATATACGTAGAACATAATTACAAAAAAAAGGAAGAATAGAGCAAAGAGGTAAGACGAACCTCCATAGCACGAATAGGGGCAGACGGAAGAAGCTGATCTAAGCCCATATTGCTCATTAATTCTTCATCCTTGGGCAGCCACATCCCTTGGGCAACTGCCAGTACAGCAGAAGGATCGGTGACTACAGAATCTCCAAAATGAAGAACTGATTTGTCAGTCCTGAAAAAAGTTGGTTTCTAAGCTTCCCCTTTATCTGCCAAGACAAAAGCCCGAACTTCTTCTTCAGGTTCCACTTTCTCGTCTTTCTTTCTTTTGTTCTTGCCAAGATCAATACCTTTACCTTTGGCAGAAGAAAGAGGATTTTTCTTAGCTTTCTTTAAAGGGGCATCTTCACCCTTCTTCTCTTGCTCAATAGAGCGTATAACCAGCAAAGGAATATCTTCTGCGGCCTTTTTCTTGAGAGCTTCAACTTTTCTATTTTCCTCTTCGGTTAAAAGGAAGGAGTCAAAGGAAGGAAGCGACAAGTCCATAAGGTCAGCAACTAAAGCACTAGATGCAATCTCCTTGAGGTTAGATGAAGAAAGGAGGTCCTTTGCAGAAGGAAGGTCGTTCTAAACTTGTTCCTCAAGAAAAATAAGCCTCGTTCCACCCACCGAAGATGGAAATGATACTGAAAAAACACCAAGAAATTCATAAATACAGGGAAAAAGCAAAACTTAGCAGGGGAAGCAAACAAAACATTTTGGATGAATGAAACAAAGTTCTTTTATACCTATGATCCTAAATTTATGAGGAATAGGAAATTTCCCTGAGTGAGGCACATACCACTTTCCCTTAACAATGATCATCCTTTCTTTCCATCTCTTTTCAAAAGTTGGGAGGTCTGTGCATATCCTATCTTGAAAAGAAGAAGTGAAATAATAACGGCCAAGTTCGGTTTGGTGTCTGGAAATGGTATAGCTGAATAATAAGTCAGCGAGATTCAAGTCAATACTTTCTAACCTTCAGCGAATAAAAAGAGCCGACACTATTCTAAGAAAATTAGGGTTTACTTGGAGAGGAGCAATACCTAATTTATTGAAGACTAAATGATAAAAGGGATGAAGGGGAAAACGAAGGGCATTAAGATGCCAAATAGATAAAAGCAGTTCATTCTCACACACCCCTTCGTCGGAACTGAAATCGACGTTGGTTGGGTACTCAACTATTTCTACCCCTTCGAGGATTTCAAACTCGTCCATTACGGACTCAAAGGTGAACGTGATACGCCAGATTGGCAGAATCATTTTTTTTTTTTTTTTTTTCCTTTTCTGTAAAGATATCGTCAGATCCAGAAGTAAATACCTCTACTTGAGGCAAAGAATCATCTCATCTCATGGCAGAATCGCTCGTAACCTCAATAGGATTAGAAACCCTAGGTGGAGGAACTCTATGAAGAACAGGAGATGTTGAAGGTGTAGTTTCAGAATCTATAATTTCTATGTGGTTGTAAGTAGAGGAAGTGTTCATAATATGGAATCAATAAGATCGAAGAAGACTAACCTGATAGAATGACGAAGCAGTAAACGCAATGGAAGCAGGAACAAACTTTGAAGAAGTTTTTTAGTCAGAATGCCAATAGTCACTTCTAAAACCGCCTCTTACACTTTTGGCAACCGTGCAAATTCAATTCCCTTCTAATTAGGGACCGTTGCTCAAATTAGGAAGGAATTGGGGGCAAAATGTGGAGGGAAAAATCCCCAACCAATAGAAATCAGCCATATCATTAAAAAAGATATCATCCAATTATTTCTTTACTAGCCCACCAAAGCCCAGTCTTGATCAAGTCCAAGCAAAGACATCATCGACCCAAGGCCATTAACATTGACCTTTCGGCCTACTAAAAGACTAATCCGGCCCATTCACATTATGGTCCAGGCTCGGTCCAAATCAATCAAGTCCTGCATAGGAAAGGATCCTTAATAGAAGGAAACTCTACATAGGAAAAATTTTACATGAAAAGAATTATAGAAGTAAAGAACCTTGTATGTAAGGAACGATATAGGGAATAAATTTCATATGAAAATAACGTAGAGGACAAGCATAGCGAATCTTACCATAATTCCATCTCAATTTGTATATAAATAGATGCATAGACCTCCAATAAAGATAATCAAACATTACAAGCTTTTCTCTGAATTGTTCTTGTTAATTATTTTTTTTTTATTTGAGTGAGTTGTATTTATTCTTTTGGCTTTTTAGTTAAACGAATTTTTGCACCGACAATATTATTGTGTTGTGTCTCTGACAATGTATAAGTAGTGATCAAAACAAATGGATTAGTCAAAATTTGCCAAATTAAGGATTTAAAAGAGAAAAAACAGTTGGACTCATGAAGAAAAAGTCTCAATTTAGCGTTTTTCTTTGCCAGAACAAGAACGGATACTAGAGATAGAAAAGAAGATGGATGGCTGGTTGGGGGTGATGGTGGTTCATCAGAGTCTCAATTTTATTATTATTTTTTTACAGAACATTTATATATTTGAATGCCTTTGGCTTTTGCATTTGGAGAGGTATTGAGAGAAAGAAGGGAGAAACGGGTTTAACCCGTACAAATGTGCATTACTCATTTTTTTAATTAGTTTTTAATTTTGGACAAGTGTCAGTAGGGAGGAAGGCCACGTCATCCTCCCTGTGTAAGATGCAAGTATTGCTAATAAAAAAATAAGGAAAAAGCTTGCCTTAGAGCATCCCAACCGTTGTATATATATTTTTGTGTAAGTCTGATGTGTCAAAGTAGATTTGCACAAAAAATTTGTACTACCTATTTTTAGCTCCAGCGGTTATTTTATACTTTTTTGTGTAAAAAAATATCCACCAATAACAACCAACCACGTGTCCTACCCAAAGCCCTGCATAACTTTTCAAACCTATTTGATTCACTTTACTTTTTTGCGATTAAACCTCACGTCTTAATCCTCCTCAATTAGGAAAGAGATAATAATTTTCCTCTATATTCACTTTCTCATCCCGCCAATAGCAAACCTTTCTCTCCGCCACCAGAATTCTAACTTAATAACAAATAATAAAATAAGATTCAAGTATGTAAAAACTATATAATCAAAGGCTTTATATCAACAATTATATTAAAACGTGATCTAAAAAAACCCTAAAATCTACGGCGATAATTGCAGAAGATAAGATCAAACGAAAGTGATGAATCAAACTATATTTATTAAAAAATAATAATAATAAAAGATGGTCGAGTAGTTCTTACCTTACCACCAGTTGTAGATTATTCTCTATGTCGCTCTAAAAAAGTGGGAAACAAAAAGGCGTAAAGGAATAAGAGAGAAAAAGAGAATAACGGTGGGAAAGGGGGAGGAGAGAGAAAATATGCTTACGTGGTTGTGCAAAAGAGCTGTGTAAAATACATAACCCTTTTACACATTGGTGATGTGGTAGTGTATCTTAACAGACTGCTGGAGATAAAAAAAAAAAATTACAAATCATATGTGGCATTGTATATTTTACACAAAAGAATTTTTTAACATATCGCTGGAGATGTTCTTGGGACGCATAAGCAGGGCTCTCCTTCTGATATTGATAACAATATGACATGTGTTAAAAAAATACATATAAAAAAATAAAAATAAAACCTGAATCATTTGAATCTTTTCACGGGTCATCCAAAAAAGAAGAGGATTTTTTTTTTCACACGTGTGTGATACCTAGTAGCGCGCTCTCTCTCTCTTTAACTCACGATTAATGCTTCTCTCTTCCCACCAAATCCCCATTGATGCCCATCATTTCCTCAATTCTAAAACCCTAATATTATTAATCTCTCTTTCGTCAACCGACCTCCACTACCTCCACTGTTTGCCACCTCCTCCATTCCTAAACCATAATTTTTTACATCCAATCTTTAGAGATGATTCAAGTCGCCAATTAATAAATACGCATAACTCTAGTGGCATCCAAAATTTTGATATTTATCACCCCCTGTTGCAATCTGAAGCCAAATTGATTTTCTTAAATTTCATTGATAATTGGAGTCTTATAATTGTAGTTAATTTACCATATTTGGGTTAATTGTTTAGTTTCTTCTGTAACGGAATGCAATATGAAGGGTTTGGAATAGAAAATATCAAACGCACGAGGAAAACAAATATTTCCTTTTGGATGATTCGTAAAAATATTCAAACAATTTTTATTAATTATTTTAAATTTTTTTTGATACATGTCATATTTTTATTGATTCTTGTCAGTATTAAAAGGACATTCCTACCTATGCGATATGAGACCAACATTGTTCAAAAATTAAATAACATAATAAAAAAAACAATAAAAACTTGAAGTCATCAAATTATATATGTATATAAAGTGTCACCCGCAGTGTTTCGTTGTAGTTCATGTGATCTCACATGAAACCCACTACAGCTTAATACTTGAAAATCAATAATTTACCAGATCGGTCAGAGCTGGCCAGCATTTCTCTAAATAACCTTTTAAATATCTCTTATCAAATTAATTAATTAATGCAAAGGGTGCTATACACACGGCCTCTCTTGTACTTAAGAGTGGATGAAAGAAAATTCCAACCATCATTAGCCCGCATTTTTCATGTTCAAATTAACCCCTAAATGTTAATCACTGTTTTTTTTATAATATAAAGCCATCAATTCAGTTACTAATTAATTTATATTTTAAATTCTTAATTTATTTCATTTGATTATGAGAGATTTATTTTTGAGAAAATAAAATTAAATGATATATATTTAAAAACTAAATATATACTACTTAGATTTATTCCAATTGATCACATAAGATTTACTCCCACCTTGATTACACAATCATTGATTTTATGTAATTAATCAGATTATCCAAATTACAGTAGGACGACCCACCTTCACTTACAGCTTGTTTCGCCAACCTTGCCATATGATTCGCTCGTTCTTGAAACTCATCTTTTTTAACATCCATCAAATCTCTGACCATCTTCTCAATTACAACTCGGTCACAAGTATCTTTCATGTCCAAACCAAGTTTCCAAACTTCACCAACAAACCTACTATTAATTGTTTGGTCTGCAATGTAAGGCCAACAAATCATTGGCACACCCGTGACCATGCTCTCCAAAGTGGAGTTCCACCCACTGTGGGTCAAAAACCCACCAACAGCTGAGTGGGCCAGAACCTCCTCTTGTGGGGCCCATTCCACCATGTACCCCCTCTTCCTCGTGCCCTCCACAAGCTCCACCGGAATCTGACTCTCCTCATCTTTTTCGGCAATGGAGTCCGGCCGCATGACCCACAAGAACCGCTGCCCACTATTCACCAGACCATACCAAAACTCCATGAGTTGGTGTTTTGTCACAATAGTGAGACTTCCAAAGCTCACGTAGATAACAGATTTGGACGGTTGCGAATCGAGCCATGTCACACAACTTCGATCTTCCTCCCAGAAACTACTCGAATAGATTGAGGAAGAGTTGGTATCTGCTGCAAGTCTAGCTTTTAGGTGCGCATGAAGTGGTCCGATGGGGAAGAGGTTGGGACAATGAGTACGTATTTGAGAGAGTATGGGTCCTTCTAGGTCATCAAATGTGTTCTTTATTAGTGCTTGGGCTCGTTGGCTTTGTCTTGTCTCAGCGGTGATGAGTTGTAATTGCAAATCATTAACTTCGTCAACACGACAAAAACTCGGAAGGTCACGTCGCCGGAGAAAACCCTCCATGCCTGGTACGCTCTTTACCGGTAGGTCCATGCCATTTCCTAAACACATAATAGTTGCAACGAATTATGAGAAAACAAATTACCAAAATACAAAAACGTATTATCACTATCATTAATGTGATTGGTATAATTTTCCTTCCCTTTCAGATTGAGGAGAGGTGGGGGATTTGAGTTTCATAATAGACATTTGTGGGGGAGTGTGACTGTTTTACTAAAAAAAAAAAAAAAAAAAAAAAAATGAATAGAGAAAGAAATGAAAAATGATGTGTTGTCTTCGGGAATTAGTCCGGGGAAGGCTTGGGTATCAAGTGATCCAAAAAAAAAAAAAAAACCCCATATTACCAAAATTAACTAGATAACTCATGAATCAGGCCTAATGCAACTCTAAACAAAAAATTTCGACAAACATAATTAGAAAGCAGTTTTTAAGAATATTAATATTACAAAATACTACTTCATTAAATTGTTTTCCATGTTCAATGTGAATAGCTAGAAAACTACTATACTAAAATAATAAACTGAATCAACATATATATATATATATATATGCTCTATAAAACCATTTCCTCCCTAACCAAACAAGAGTGCCAAAAAATTAACAAACCTTTCAAGGGAATTTCATCAGCTTCAATGAGTTGAGGCAAACAAAAATAAGCCCAAAATGAGCAAGCACTGATAGTGCGAAAATAAATAAGTGGAATTTCTCTCTCGATAGCAAAATCACCAGCAAAACCCAGGATCCCGTCTGCTATGATGCATGTCACAGGCCGCCTTGTTCCAGTACCCAAGAGATCGGTGCCAATCATCATCTCTCTGAATAGTGGCCCTGTGACGGACTTAAGAGAAGGAAGAATCTCCATAACTCTCTCACCGGCACGCGGATGATCGTCAGGCAGGCCATCCGGAATTGTCCTGAAACAAAATCCGGGATAGCGAGCGAAGTGGGAATGGACATGGCTGTGGCGGAGGAGGCAGCTGTGGCTATACTCGGAGACGAGCATGGTCACATGTAGCTTGCCAAGACAGAGAAGCTCGGCCAGCTTGAGCATGGAGTTCACGTGGCCTTGAATCGGCAACGGGAAGACGAGCACGTGAGGAGGGAGTGGTGGTGCTGCTTGCTGATCCATTAAAACTTGTTGGATCCTCCGATCTTCTCACTGTGATTCACTTCAGATCCAAATTTGTAATTCAAAGTATAGCCGACTCGAAGAACTTGTGGTTGAAAAGCTTTGCCTCTTAAAGAAAGAAATCATCATCCACTAAGTCGTTGTCACACAGTTTAGTGGTCCCTTTGTTTTTGTCATTTTGTCTTTGAATTTTTGGTTAATAAAATTATATGCACTATTGATGTGCCGGAAGGACTTCGTAGTCCTGTGTTTGATTTGATATTCTCCTTGTTCTCTAATGCTTGTATTTTGGTTATTCTTTTTCATTTCCTACTAACTTTTTTAGAAAGTGTTAAATAGTATTATTATTAACATGTCAGTCATCTAACGGTATTAATTTCTTATTTTTTAAAAGAAGATCGGGAATTCAAGTTTCAGAAAAGACAAGTGTGTAAGTATCAATTAAAAAAAATAAAAATAAAAAATAAAGTATTAGAGTAAATTACACTAAAACTCCCATCAAGTTTATATTAATGTCAAGTTTGAAATGTAATATTTGTCCTTTCTTATTTCATTTAAATATATTCACACAATATCCGTAATGTTAATTAACCATAAGACCCCACCATTATTACCCCGACCATCTGACATAAGCCACCTAACATTTACATCTGCCCTTCAACACCACCACCTCACTGGTACCGACACCAACACTACAAAACCAAAGCTTACGAACTGTGACTTTCCAGCGAAGGTGATTGAGGGACTTTCGCTCTCTTCTTACAGCAAGTCCTTCCTTGCCCACCACCCAACCCTTCTCCAAACCCCCTTACCCGTTCCCTTCACCCATCAATGAACTCTTTTACCAACTCAATATATACTCTCATCTATTCTAATTACGTTTGCTCATATAGTTTCGCTTTCAACAAGAAGATTCAAAATTAAATAAAAAATTACAATTCGATCAGTCCCGCTTTTACACCAAAAGTTAACAATTACAAAGGTTATATTTTAGATAAATGACTTTTAGAATTTTGTAAATAGTCTCTAATCAAATTAATTCAAAGGTGCTATATATTCTTGCCTTCGGTAATGGTATTATTAATTTTTGAATTTGTAACACTTAACAATGGATGACACAAAGGATGTATGAAACTTATTTCCACATCATGAGCAAAAAAAAAAAAAAAAGAAATCCAACAATCTTTACCACGCAATTTTCATGTCCAACCGTCACTTTGATCACTCAATCATTGATTTTATGTACTTTATCAGACGATCCAAATTACAGTACGATGACCCACCTTCACTCACAGCTCGTTTTGCCAACTTTGCCATCAGATTTGCTCGTTCTTGAAACTCATCTTTTTTAACATCCATCAAATCTCTGATCATCTTCTCAATAATAACTCGGTCACACGTATCTTTCATGTCAAAACCAAGCTTCCAAACTTCACTAACGAACCTACTATTAATCATCTGGTCTGCAAAATAAGGCCAACAAATCATTGGCACGCCAGAGACTATGCTCTCCAAAATGGAGTTCCACCCACTGTGAGTCAAAAAGCCACCAACAGCTGGGTGCGCCAGAACATCCTCTTGTGGGGCCCAATCCACCATGTACCCTCTCTCCCTCGTGCCCTCAACCAGCTCTACCGGAATTTGAGTCTCCACATCTTTTCCGACAACGCAGTCCGGCCGCATAACCCACAAGAATCGATGTCCACAATTCACAAGACCATACCAAAACTCCATGAGTTGGTCTTTTGTCACAATCGTGATACTTCCAAAGCTCACGTAGACCACAGATTTGGACTGCTGCGAATCAAGCCACGTCACACAGCTTCGATCTTCCTCCCAGAAACTACTCGAATGGGTTGAGGAAAACTTGGGATCTGCTGCGAGTTTGGCTTTTAGGTGAGCGTGAAGTGGTCCGATGGAGAAGAGATTGGGACAGTGAGCACGTATTTGAGAGAGTACGGGTCCCTCTAGCTCATCAAAAGTGTTCTTTATCAATGCATGGGCTCGAGGGGTTTTTCTGGTCTCTATTTTTATGAGTTGCAAACTCTCATTATTTACTTCATCCACACGGCAAAAACTTGGAAGGTCACGTCTCCTGAGAAAATCCTCCATGCCTGGTACACTCTTTACTAGTAGGTCCATGCCATTTCCTGAACAAAATAATAGCAGCAACATAATGCTTTGTTGTTTTTGATCATAAAACTAATTAAGGCAAAATAAAATAGAATTCTACATTTGGAATATGACGTTTCTTAGATAAAATATCAATGATTTTTTTGGTCTCTCAATGGAGTAATCAAAATCAAATTAGGTTATATCTTCATCTCTGTATTCTTAAATTAATAGTACATATGAATGAGAATAAGGCTGTTTAATTAGACGCAATTGGTCTTCAATCTCAAATTGGGGTTACATCTTCTAATTGTTTATCGAATGTGAAATGGGTAGAATAATAGATTGTGGAGGAAGTCAGTGGTTGTGGTGATGATCTACAATCCCACACAATTGGATCAAAGACGACAAACTCATCAAACTAAAAACACAATGTTTGGATCAAATCTTCGATCTCACCAGATATTTTGATATGCAGAGTTTAGACATATCATTATGAGTTTAGAGAGTACTCTAAAGATATCTTAACTATAACGTTCAAAATAAAAACAGATTCCCTCCCATTTGATAAAAATAAGAAGTGTTTGGATCAAAGGCAAATTCACCTTGGGTGAGGCCCTAAAGATCGGAAGAAGTAGCATTACTACACATGTATATATAAAATTACTATAGCACTAAAGAAAAATTGAAGTGAATAAACCTACTTTATAAAACCATTTCCTCTTTAACCAAGCAAAATGACAAAAATAGAACATACCTTTCAAGGGAATTTCATCAGCTTCAGTGAGTTCCGGAATACAAAAATAAGCCCAAAAAGAGCAAGCACTGGCAGTACGAAAATAAATAAGTGGAATTCCCCTTTCGATAGCAAAATCACCAGCAAAACTCGGGACCCCTTCTGTTATGATGCATGTGACAGGCCGCCTTGTTTGGGTAGCCAAGCAATCGGTGTCTATCATCATTTCTCTGAACAACGGCCCGGTGACAGATACTAGAGAAGGAAAAACCTCCATAATTCGCTCACCGGCTCGAGGATGGTCCTCTGGAAGGCCATCCGGAATAGTCCTGAAACAGAATCCGGGATAGCGAGCGAAGTGCGAATGGACACGAGTGTGGCGGAGGAGGCGGCTGTGGCTGTACTCGGAGACGAGCATGGTCACATGGAGGTTGCCAAGGCAGAGAAGGTCGGCCAGCTTGAGCATGGAGTTCACGTGGCCTTGAAACGGCAACGGGAAGACGAGCACATGAGGAGGGAGTGGTGCTGCTGATTGATGATCCATTAAAACTTGTTGGATCCTCAAATGTTCTCACTGTGATTTCACTTCAGATCCAAACTTGCCTCTTTATTGTATTATTGTAGTATTACTGTTTTGTTTTTTTCTTTGTTGGGTTTTATTTATTTGGTTTTAGTTAGGTAAACTTTGTCGCTGCACGTTGTGCCACGTATGCATCTTTGATATTCATCCTTCATTTTGGAAAGTTTCACAAAGTAGGTGCATACTTAATTCAACATCGAATATATGGTTTAATATAAAATAATTCTTGTGTTTTTTAGTTACGAGAGCTGGACACTAGCTATTCCGACTCGATACTGAGTAATGCTCAAATTATTAGAGAAGTTGAATAGATTGTTCTTCTTCTATTTAATAAATTGCTAAAGATAACTCCCTTGGTGATGTGAAATAAAATGACAAAAACAGCTAGTATGGTAGAAATGTCCGTGGGGTTCACATAGTAAGTGGATTCATCTCTAACATGGGAGGTGTTACAGGAGTCAATTTTGAATACGAATTCCTTAGTATGTGATGGCACTCAGCCAAAAATAGGAACAACGTGTTTTTACTCAATTTTACTCCATTTTTGACTTAGCTCAGCTAACTCACACTTACTATCTACACACATACAGCAAGTAAAACACTCTCACACACAATATAAATGCAAAAACACACGTGAATTTACAGAAACCCAAGACTTCTAACCTTTTCTTATTATTCAAAAAAGAGTATAAGGACATGCCTCAACCTGCTGAAGCATACAAGAATGCAGCAACATACAAGAGTCTCCCACAACACTCTTCTCTGTATCTCACTGCCCTTCTCTCTATGTATCTCCATCTCAGTGTGTGTATCACTCTTCTACATAACCAACATATTTATAGGCAAACTCACTAAACTACCCACAATAGCCCACTAAAGTGGTGGATGACACCCCATCCATCTAGGGTCGTGCTGGCATGCGCAACGCATACCTCATGTCTCTAATGATTGCCCAGGAACTGCCCCATATATGTATATCTCTATATATTTGCATAATGGAGTAAAGCTAACCCCCAATCACCTGTGTATTGTCACCTCAGAATTGTGCCACGTACGTGGGAGGTTACTCAGCACACCCCCACTCCCCATAATAAATATATATGAGTGGAAAATGCTAGTAATCGCCCCCAACCGACTAAGCCCACTTAGCCATATTCTGTAACCAGGAGCCATGTCTGAGTCCCGTGAGCCACCCTTGCATGCTAAGCCTCGTCTACACCTACTGCCTTGTGCCCATGTCCCTGACTAGACTATATCACACGTCAATGACTTGTGGTCCATGCTTTAAACAACATTTAGGTCAACCTTGTGAGCCGAACTCGTGCCAAGCCCATTGATATAAACCAAGCCAACCCATGCTCATGAGTTCTCCTGCGCTTTGTTCTGTTAGGGTATAGCATTGAGCCATGCCCACACTTCTGTCCGTTTGAGCCGCAACCTTACTCAAGGCAAGTTAGCACAATCCAAGGACCCACATGTGTTAGTTTTGTGATGTTTCTCATTTTTTTTTTGAATTTTCGGGCATTATTCGCATTTTCAGCATTTATTTATTTGTCACGAGGATTTTTAAATTGATTTTGAATTTTTTATTTTGGGACTCTTAGAATGCAGTCGAGGTCTTAGCCTCTATTTATAAGAAATTTATAAGTAATTGATTCATTTTATGACTCCCTGACGAGGCCGCTTGTGAACGCCAAAATAATGTAGTGAATGTGCGGTTCAAAAAAAGTCTTTTAGGTCAAGTTTAAATTTATAAAAACCTCTACCACCACTACTACTAATGTAGCAAGAGTGAGTAGGGATCGTCCCAAGGGATTATACGTGTTGGAAATTAACTTCGACTCTAGTGGATCACAAGATTGCAAAGGAGAGATTGACTGTTTACTCTAGAAAATAATTAATTAAAATGCAAATAAAGTAAACTAATAAAAGATAGGGATTTAAGAGATATGAAGAGAGATCTTAGGGTGTTGGAATCACCACTAAGCTCATGTAATTAACCACTTACTTTCCATTAATGGGGAATATATTGTTGTGAACAAAATGCGACTACCAATTGTAATATTAAGCATGGACCATCAGATTAAAGAATAAATTATCTACTTAAACTAAGCGTAGCACAACCCATCAATTCTAAGCTTGACCCATCAAACTAGTTACAATTGTAGCACACACCAATCTAGAGAATCATGAAATTTGCAATAATAAGCCATGGAATATCAAAGCAAGTAAAGATTGTCTACCTACCTACAAGCATAAATTAAATTGTAGAACAACCCATCAAGTATAAGAATAATCCATCAAATTAATTGACAAACCCATCTAATAAAAATCCATGCTAGCCATCAGTAAATCCTTAATTAATCAAAAATAGACATGCAACCAACATACAGAATCTAGTGTAGAGATCAATTCCCTAAATAATCACACATAAGACAACATGTAATTAAAATAGAGAGTCAATAGAAAGAATTAATCCATATGAATCATGTAAGAAATAATTCCTAATTTAATTACACATAGACATGTAAATAAACTAGAGAATTAATAGGAAGAATTAAACCATAGAAATCATAAAAATATACCAAGATTCATTAAATTCACAAAGTTAGAACACTAATCACAACAATATATATAAATCCCCAAAAATAGAAATACGAGGGTTTAGATTACACAAGACTTAGGGCTTATCCAAGCCCTAAGTGTAGATCTAGCCAATCATGGAGGAGGTAGATGTCGTCATGAAACCCTCAAAGGTAAGCTCCAAACATGGCTCCATCTTCTTCTTCCTCTTCTTCTTTGAAGCTCTAGAGATGGAGAGAGGGTGGATCTAGAGATGGGTCTAATCCCGTACTATGTGGTAGGTGGGAGTTTTGGGTGCGTGCGGGAATAAGATAGCTCACTGCCAGCAAAAGTTTGATCGATCAGACGTTTTCTTCGATCGATCAGAGAAAAGTTCGATCAATCCAACTTTTATTTTCGATCGATCCAACTTCAATCGATCTCAGAAAAAGCGATCGATCTCAGAAAAAGTTGGATCGATCCAACTTGGCAGTTTTTCAACATTAGCCTCCTTTTGCTCCAAATCAGCTTCTTTTTGCTCCGGATCCTCACTAAGACTTAGTTTGACTCCAAAATGGCCTTAAGAAACCATTTTTAGCCCATTTTAACATTATTGACCTGAAATAGACAAAAACACAAATAAGTATTAAAACAGGAAAATAAGATAGATAAAGGTCTTAAAACACTCAAGCTTAAGGGGTTTAAAAGCGCACTTTTCAACCCTTATCACACGCATTGCTTGTGCCTAAAGAATTTCAATCATAATATTTCATCCTTATCGTACAAGTTTTGTATTTCCTTAAACTATAGTCCTTCTTCTAATAGAATTACTACAAAAAAAAATGGACTCATTGGTAATCTGGGCCTAAAGATCAACTATTTCGGATCCTCTTAATGGGTTTAGCTTTCTAAGCCTGGTTGGGCTGGCCCAACCTTATAATTGAGGCCTAGTTAGAAAGTTGAATAGTCAATATATTTGCGATGGACCCTTCTTGTGATGATGTGTTGTCTTTTTATTGGTGGGACAATATTTTTCATCAACAGCATGCCCCCAATTCCCTCCTAAACTAGGCAATGGTACCTATTTAGAAGTTAATTGAATTTATACGGTTTTAGAATTGGAAAAGGCAGTTTGGCCTGTGACTTGTGGTATTCTAACGCCTCCTTGTATTCTTAAATTAATACAATAGAATTTTACATTTGGAATATGATGTTTTTTAGATAAAACATCACGGTTTTTTTTTTTTTTTTTTTTTTTTTTTTTTTTTTTTTTTTTTTTTTTTCGGTCTCTCAATGGAGTAATCAAAATCAAATTAGGTTATTTCTCTATCCCTATTGTTGGGGTTGAAATTCGCCGCGGCTTGGTACGACACCGTTTCCTGCAAAACAAAGACGGCTAAGTCAAACAGCGGTGTGGTGCCGGCCGTTGACCCTCCGACGATCAAGTTAGTGGGAGTTTCTAGAGAAAGAATTTATATCGTAATCATTCTGGTATGAGTTTTTTGTGTGTCCCTTATTCCAGAGTCGTCTTCATATTTATAGTCACTTCCCTCATCCTTGATAAGGGAATACTATCATTCTTATCCAATGAAAATCGTATCCCTGATAACGGAATGTCATTATTCTTATCAAATGGAAATCTTATCATTGATAACGAAATATCATTGTTCGAAAGTCGAAGAGGTTTGGCAGTTGGTCAACACTTGGTTGCCTCTATTGTTAGGTCAAGGTAGGTTAGGTTTATTTTTTCCTATCAGTTGTCCTTTATTTCTGGGTACGTTTTGGACCAAGGAAATAGTGAATAAGATGTATATATACTTTCTTATATTTTATTTATTTCCTTTTTACTACAAGCCTCCTTCCAAATTTTAGTAGGACTCTGTCACGAGAATTTCATTGTTACTCAAAAAGGATTTTCCTATAAATAAATAAATATTTATTTATTATTTACCTCCCTTCTTTTTTCTTTTCTTGTTATCTAAAATTCTTTAATCTGGATCATGACTTTGAGTTTCTTGTGGATCGTTGTAGTTATTATTGTTTTTACTTGGGTTCTTTTAAACCTCAATTTGCGAGATACATAGTTGGGTCAAGTCATCTCTGTCGGGTTGTTGGTGCAATTCCAAAGTGGTTTCATTGTTTTCACGATATCCACAATCTTATCAAGACTCAAATTCTGAAAGTGTTGAAAAACTTGAACTTGATTATGCTGGCGAATTTGGGGTTGATTACCCCTCAAAACCAAAGACTGTGTTTTCCAAGCAACTCCCATGTGAAGGAGAATCCTTAATTAAGGATGAGAATTTACATAATTGTAGATTGAAATATTTCATTCCTTCATCTATTCACCTTCACAAACCCAAACCAGATGATAGATGTTCTTCTGTTTGTTTGGGTGAGGTATGCTTTTTCGAGTCGACTTTTACTGCTGGTTTACATTTTTTGATTCATCTGTTTGTAAAAGATTTACTTTCCCATCTAAAGATAGCTCCATCTTAAATTGCCCCTAATTCATGGAGAATTATTATAAGCTATTTGATTGTTTGGGGAAGGTGTGGCAATAGTCGTCTAATAGTAAATCAATTCTTGCATTTTTACTATCCTAAGAAAAA